CATTATAAAGTAAAAAAAAAAATTCACTGTTGAAACATCACTAAGCAGGGATCATCTGTATTTCTGTTTTTGCTCATCTGTATTTTCTAATTACTTCTTATCAATATATAATATAGTGTGATAAAGACAAACAATAAACTCAGTAAGTAGAGATGCAAATCTATCATCACCCTCTTTATGATTTTCCTGTTTCCCTATCTCTGTGAGCATCATCACTGTTTACAGCAGGCGAGGTCTGCCATAAAGAGAACCACTCAAGTTATTTTAACAGAAAGAATTTAATATAAACAATTGTTACCTAGTTGCAAATTTGTCAACTGAGTAACTTAAAGGACAAAAAGAGAACTCTAAATTTCATGGAGGTGGCAAATGCAGGAAGTAGGTACGACCCTTCTGACCCTTGAGAGAGAGAGAGGAGGGAAGCAGCTAGAATTGTTAAAATTTAGAAACTTAGAGGGGATTATAAATACCCACAATGCTTGGACCCAAATATCTGAGGAGGGGACGCTTGCCAACTGCTGCAGGTGTCTGGCGGAGGAAGCATGAGATGAAGCTGGCTTCCAAGTGTTGGAAAATTTCATACTTGAATAATCTGCTCCTAAAGGAAAAGAATCTGCTGCTTCCAAAGTGAAGAATCCTTGCTGGAGGGTGCTCCCATAATCAGCAAGCAAATAGGAAGGAGCCAGTTCCTATTTCCTTTCAGCTTTCTGATCTCCCTCTGCCGGCCCCTATTGGCAGAGCCCAATACAGAATTAACTGGAAAAGCAGAAATGTGGGTATCAGAGTCTTAGGTCCTCTATGATGAAGCCAAATATAAAAAGGTGGTTTTAGACCTCAGAGACAGTAACTTAATATGGGGCACATTTTTAAGCAGGTTCCAGTGAATCTTGGACTCTTGTCAACCAGTCAGTCATCCAGTCATTGCTTCAAAATACACTTACTGCGTAATATAATGTGCCATGCTTCATTTGGTGTTGAGAATATATAGATGAAAAGATAGAGTCTTTACCTTCAGGGAGCTTATAGAGTGGTATGAGAGAGAGAAAACAGGAAAACATAGTGTGACAAATGAGTCAATAAAGAAAAGACTTAGCGCATAGGTGGATATGGTAACTATTTGAGAGAGAAGCAAAGGAAAGACTCTGAAGAAAGTGACTGGGGATAGACTTTTGTAAAGTGGTTTGGAGTTAGCTTCTGGAAAGGAGAAAAGGAAAGAGGGTGGAGCAACGCATTGCAGAGCAGGATGCACAGATGTAAAAGCCATGGGAGGATGAAATACCGTGAGATAGAAGGGAACTATGGGCAAGCGTTTGATTATAAGTGGAATGTAAAATGGGAATAGAAATCTCAGAAGGTGAAGCTGGAGTGGTAAGCACAGGACAGTTGCATGCAAATCAGCAAAGAGTTTTTGCAAATCAACAAAGAGTTTTAAACAGGATTAAGTCTTAAAATTTATAGATATTTGAAGTCTCTTCTCCCAACACCAGAATATCCACTCACTCGACAAAGCTGTATGATTCAAACTTCACAAAGCATTCTGTAAACCACCTGTGTTTCTATTTCTTCATCCATCAACCAAGTGCAGGATCCACATTTATTCTCATGTGTACTGTTGAGATGACCTCTTCATTGTGTAACTACCTACTATCACTCCCTACAGTGTAGCCTTTACACAACTGATGGATTTGTCTTCCTAAGCACAGCTTCGGACATCATTTCTGTGATAACTTTATTTGTATCATGTATTAAATTTTACCCAATGATTTTCATGTGCACTTTTTGATTTAATTCTCATAAAAAATCTGGGACATTATAAACTATAAAGTTATTAACACGAGTTTACAAAATAAAATGGAAAGTAGAGAATCCAGGTGAATTAGCCCAACGTAATTTAATTTAGTGACAAAACCCAGGCCTACCACCTATCTCCTCTGAATACAGGCATTTTTAACTATTCATTTCAATTTGGAATATTCTTAATATTTGTCATGAGATGAGGGTCGCAGTTTCATCATCTTAAATTGTTAAGGGAAATGCATTGAGTTATAGGATTTTGTTTTAATAGCTCTTGAAGATAAGCATTGTTTGTGGGGAATGAGGGAGTAGGAAGTTCTTTAAAAGGTTATAATATATCAAGACAATATAAGTATAAATACCTTTCAAAATATATAGGTCTTAGTTTCAATACCTATCTTTGTTTCCATCCTAGTGTTAAGCAGCATTAAACTAACTCTAGTTGGAAAAGTGCATTGTTGAGGTGTCTCCCAAATGAGTTTAAGCATAGAATAACCATTTGGCTATTCAGAGAGAACTAAAAATGTGATTTTCCTAAACACAGACTGTTCAGGAGGAAACATTTCCAGTTAAATGAGCAGTTGAAGCCTAAATCTTAAATAATTTAAGAATCATAGTAGTCTACTCAATCTCTTCTGATCATGTTGATTTAGACATAAAGATATTCTGTTTTTCAACACCATGGATGGAATGTTTACCTCACCACAATATTAATTTACTAAGTATTCAATAGTGATACGAAATACTTAAACCAGATTGCATCCTTTAGTTGTTTGGTGGAAAACTTGAGGCTAACATAATCTTTAGATTTTTGAAATGCATACTTTCAGGTAATTGTGTTAAGGATATCAGTTTTATGACAGCCATGGCTACACCTCAGTGTGGGAATTCATGAGAGTTTAATAAAAATTAATTGAACTGTCATTGAACAGTTGAAGCCAGACAAAATAGAAAAAGAAATTTTCCCCATAGAAGTCCCTATGTTTGTTTGCTGTACTGTGTTCCTTGCAAACACCTTTTAAAAAAACTCACTGGGAAGAGTCCTTGGCTGTGAGCCCTGTGGTGGTCATTAGAATGGATCCCTCCCAATGCCACACCTGGTACCTGGTATCTGCAGCGAGTACAAAGGCCAAACCTGCAAACTACACTGAGCACAGAATCTGGCCCACGCCTGGTAGTGAGGAATAATGAGGTGGGCTGCTGAATGGTAATTGCAGGTCACTGAGAGGCTTCTATGGAGCCTCCACTGCCTCCAGCAGGAAGCTTGTCATTGCTGATACTTAGGTCATAGTGATTTATCAACTTGAAGATCATCAGATTCCCAAAGCCAAGGATTGTAACATAACCTGCCTTTATGTGAAAGGTGCTGTCATTTACTTTGTCTCAATAACCCTTTCCGTTTTGATGGTTAATCTGATATGGCATCATGTAAATATTCTGGTACCTGAGGAGCATGTTAATTAAAATTCCTAAAGGCCTGGAAAAATGCTAATTTATTCATCACTCCCTTCTCAACTAGAAAATGAGCTAAAGGGGGGGTCAGCTTTTGAAAATACTCTTCCCCAACCTAGAATACTATCAAGTAGGAAAAAAGAGTTCATAGAAATGAGGCTGAGATACAGAAAAGTCATGGGATTCTATGCCTTGTGGTTATTCATTCAAAAAAAATTTACTGAACTTAAATGGGCTCAGATGCTGGGAATACGGAAGTAGATCAACCACAATTCCTTAGGAACTTCTTCTGGTGAAGTCTTCATCATGGTATATCTGGATGAATAAACATAACTGCTCCAGATGAAATACCAGATATTTGGGGCTGTGGCAGGAACTGACAGTTCCATTTCTCTTACTTAGATGTTTAATGCTCTATATGGTGAGTGTCAAAATAGTACTCATGGGCCCTAGTTTTAATATCAATAAAATCTAAAAATGGGACTAAGCAATCGCTTTCTCAGGCAGTTGAAAAGAATTTTTGAGCAAACGATGAATATTCCAGGTTTTGGAGAAGATACCTAAAAGGAATTAGACTTTTGCCCTTTAAGGATTTCTAAAACAAATTCTTGTTATATGTTATTTTCATTAATTTGCATTTAGCTCAATCTTTTCTATTCAGCCATGAGCTCCCTTTGGGAAGGAGTGTGTTCATCTTTGTACTTCTGCTCCTGGTACAAGGCCTGGTATGTAATAAGTGCACCATAAAGGTTTCTTGTTGAATACAAGAAAGAATCATCCTTCCTTGAGGGATCATAGTTTAATTAAAGAGAAAATTCAAGTGAAAAGAAAATAAGTAGCATACAGGAAGTGAATTTAAAACATTTTTTTAAACATCCTAGAAACAAATGCAAAAGAGCATTGTGTTAGATCAAAGAGAATAAGAACTGTGGGCTCCTGTTCATCATTTTCCTTTGGTGTGCTAGCCTGGGCTCTTTCACACGGGATCTTGTGGTTCCAGGAGCAATGAAAGGGTCAGCCTCAAAGTGCAAACACTCTTCAAGTCTCCACATTCATCATATCTGCTATTGTCCCATTGGCCAAAGAAAGCCTTATGGCCAACTTCACGGTGAGTTTGAGCAAATTATCAATATACGTGGATACCGGGAGACAAATCAGGACTTACTGTAATCCATCTATCTTGGAGGGGGTAAGAGTTCCCATATCAGTTTCTAGTAATTATATGTAGTGTGGTTTTCAGTTTTGCAAAAAATAAAACCCCAATGTAACTGCATGTGCACCAGCATTTATCCATTACATGTATCCACAAACATATAGACAAATATCCACAAAATACCAAAAAATGCATTAGTGATGCTTATTTATATGCTTTTGATTTCTTTTAATTTTTAAATAATATTTGTTTTCATGTATTACATCTGTAATATTTTTAAGGAAAACTACGGTAATAGGACAAAATGTAATTATGGGTGGTGTTGCTCTTTTTAATTTTTAAAAATTTCTTCTGTATTTTCCATGATTTCTGTGATATATACATATGCATTCTTTACAATTAGCCAAATATACCTACATTTAAAAAATGTTACTGAGTCAGGACTTTGGTATACTCTTCCATTTGGTCTTCATTAGGACATCAGAAAAGGACAGTTGAAGAGTTGGTAACACATTCTTCTACAAGGCAATTCTTTCTCTACCTACAAAGCTTCTTTCAAAGTGTGCAGCTGTCACTGATCGCCTTCCTGGTTTCCTTCCAGACGTCCTGCTGCAATGGAAGAGGAGACCCTTTTGTTTGTCTGGTCAGAAGGAGCCCTTGAATTTACTGATGCTGCAGGCACTCTGAGGCCTTTCACACTCTACGAGTATCGCATCAGAGCCCATAACTCCAGGGGCTCAGTGGACAGTCTGTGGACATCAGCTCAGACCCTGGAAGCCCCACCTCAGGGTCTGCCGGCGCCCTGGGCTCAAGCCACCGGTGCTCATTCAGTTCTGCTTAACTGGACAAAGCCAGTATCGCCCAACGGCATCATCTCCCAGTACCACGTGGTCTACCAAGAGAGGCCTGATGATCCGACATTTAACCTCTCTACTGTGCATGCTTTCACAGTGATGGTAAGAATTTAGGGAAAAAAGAGTCACAGGTACTTAGATATCTGGTTAATATGTCAAAATTCATTTTTTTATCCATCTTGTCATTTTTTTTCACTTAGGTCTTAAAGATATGACTATTTCACATGTGAAAAGAAGCAATGCAGTCATAGGTACTGACTGCATTGATAAAACACTGGACTGAGTAGAAGCGATATGGGAGACCAATTTGCAGAGTACAATTAATTTCTATTACCTCAAGCAAAAAAGTAAATCTCTCTTTGCATGATTTCCAATCCCAGTAAGTGGGAATATAAATTGTGTCCCTCTATAGATATGAAGATATAGATGGGATATTATTGGCTCTTTGAGGAAGAAAAAAATTAAATTTCTAGACATATCTGCATAGATACAGATGATGTGGATATAGATATCATATGCGCTATAGCTTAGTGGTGATTTTTCTGGGTTGGCCCCCTGTGGCCCTATAATACAGCTTAATTCAGTTTGCCTTGTATTTCCTGAGAACTTCCTTTACACCCGGCATAGATTGAAATGGTTCTGGTCTCAGGGAGATTTCTCTTTTTTAAAATTGCCAATTTGAGAATAGAACATTAGGAAACATAAGAGATGTGGATTACAGCCTACAGTGCCCACCACACCGGGATTCAGATCCAAACTACCACCTACTAATCAGAAACCACAAGAAAGAATATCATATACCAAAAGTGTGAGACAAGAAATACTCTGGGAGGTCAGCAGGCTACAGTCATACTGAAGTGGCTTCATGGAGAAGATGAAACTTCATGGTCTTAGGAGCTAAATACATGTGGTTTGAAATGTGCCAAGACCTTGCCCTCAGAAATAAGAAAAAGTGAATGGACAGCATAAAACATTATTTACAAAGACCAGACCATGTTTTTATGCTTTCAGTTTAGACATGAAGGCTATACAGAGTACCAACATTGATCAAAATACCTAAATAATACTGGGCAAACATATTTTAATGAAACTGCAGAAGAATCTCTGTAAATGAATAATTTAAAGTACAGTATTTTCTCACAGCCCCTTACATTTAATTTTTTCATGTAACTAGGAAGAAAGCAGCTTGTGAGTTAAAGAGATAATGTGAAAGAAAGAAATCTTCCTTGTTTTTTAGAATTCAGAATCAGTACTTAATTTTTTCATTTGACATTTAATTGTCTTTATATACCAGGGTCATTCCTGTTAAATCTTCTAGAACCTTCATTACTTGCTTTAAAAATAGTTTTTAAGTGTTGATCTTTTTTACTTGATGCACAATCCAAGAGGAAATCTATTACTTCTCACCAAATCCTTGGAAGTCATGTTCTCCTCACCTTTCCACCCTGATAGTATAAATCTGAAAAATAAAATTAAAATGCTGAAAAACCTTTGATAAGAGCTTTCTGAATGAGACACCTTAGTTTAAATATATTTTTATTGACAGCACCAATATTTCAGTGATTGAACATCTGAACTTTTAAAATATGGCTTTCAGAGGTATGAACCCAAACACTTTATCTCCCAAAATGATTTTATTGGAATTCCCTTGTGGAATACTCTTGAAGTCAAACTTTCAAACCTTATTTCATTTTACAACACAAGACAAAGTATCCAATGAACTCTGTCCCATATTTAATTTTGTGTTTTCTATTTTTATCACACTAAAAATTCCTGAAAGACAGGAAGGATTTAAGCTTCCCATGGCTTTTTACACATGGCCTTCCCCAACAGAGCTTCCATTCTGACAGTCTGGTATTGCTGCCCTCTTCCGTTTTTTAAAAAAAGGCTAATCCTTGCAATGTTAAAAAGAATAGCCAGAATAATCAAGAAACAGTAATGTTCTGCATCCTATATTTGAATGTGTGTGTGTGTGTTCAAAGTGGGCCCCCAACATCTGAATCTTTGACCCTGAGCATCCCAAGAGAAGCCTCCATTAGGTCATCAAGAAAGGTCCCGTTTGAGCTTTTTAAGCAAACAAGGACCTCTTCCATTGAACAACTAGGCAAATATTTGGACATTTTAGTTACTAAGCCAACTTTCCAGGGCAGGAGGCCACTATGACTCTTTACAGACTATTTTCTTTGAAAGAAGTAATCATAAAAATAAGCTATTACCTATGAGTTTCATCCATTCCTACATTCCCAAGAGAATGTGTTCAGCCCTTTTGTTTTTTTTTAAGACATCTAAAGAAGGTTCTGCCACTTGATTCTCATTCCCCATCATCAAAGAAGAGTGTTTGTTTTATCCAAGCCTACCCAAATCCTTCCACAATCTGAGTTCATCCGCCCTGTTCAGAACAGTATGCCTTCTCTGTCCCAGCAGAATGGGCCTTCGGGCAAGAACAGACTATTGACAATTCACTCTAATTTGGCAAATAATCATCGAGCATTCACTATATTCAATAAGCCAATATTTAATACTACACTCAGCTTCATTGTTGAAGTCTGCCATGAAACTGGGCCCTTGGGCATGGCAGAGATTGCAGGAAAAAATGAATAATCAGGTCTGAAGCACAAATTATTACTGCTGGGCATTTCATATTCCTGAATCTCTTTGCTTCTGAGTTTCTGCTACTTGTGTTTTGATGATTCCCTCTTCTCTCTCTCTCTGGGTGTCTTCCTGACTCTGCTTACTATTTCTCTAATTCCTATACCAGCTAAACACCTCCACTGCCTCTTTCCATTTCTGTGCCTTCCCTACGAAATTTTTCAAGTTTTTCTTTCATTGACAACTTTGGCTGAAATTCTCCAGGGCCAAGGAACTACATGTTTGATTAGTAAGGCACAGAATTCATCTCCACGATTGTAGGATTACAATTTAATCCACAAACTTGCAAGAGGTATGACTACATTCCCGCTCATTTGGTGTTGTTTACTGGGATCCCATGTCTACATGAGAGGCCCCACAGCATAGTGCCACAGCAAGCTTGTCTCAAGTTTCCCCAGTACTGTTTATAGACAGGTGGACGTTGCTGGGAGCATGGCATAAACAGGTGCAATGGATGCATGACTCCTCCTGATGGTGGCAGTGGATGGAGAACTGGCAGCGGGGGCCTCCATGGCGGGGGAGAGCATATGTGTTGGCAGGAGCAATGACGGCAGCAGGAGAGGCAGCAGGAGAGAAGAAGTGGAAAGAGCATGGGCTTTAATGTATCACCAGTTCTCTCCCAACCTCATGAAAAGTTTCATCGCCCTTTGCGCCTAAGTAGGTCCTTCTAAGGGGAAGAAAAAGAATACTAGATTCCTTGAGTCTCTTCAGACCAACACCCTCCGCTACTGAAAACGAGCTTTAGGTAAAAGTCTTTAAACTCCCTTCCCAATTAGCTCTGTGATGGATTGTGTGGTGTCAGGAGAGAAACTGTGTTTAGCCCTGCTTGGCATGCAAGAGCTCCGTGGTGGTGTTCACAGGGAACACTCCTGGCGAGGTCGGCAGTACGGCTGCCACCACTCGGATTGTTTGCTTTCTCTCACTGGCACCTGCCATAGCACTGGCAGAAATAACTTGGGATTTAAAGGTGGTTTACCTGTTAGTCTGTGCTCTCAGTATAGCCCTGCTTACCCCACAGGGTTATAAAACACTAAGCTCAGATCAGACTTTTGCCCGGTACCTTGAAAGATAGATGGAGTTTTACTCTGTGTGTAGAATGAAACATACGGTGCTGAAGAGTAAGCAAATTATATGGGTCACTAAAAGTTGGCTTCCAATCTGGAAGTAAAATCCAGAATTACAAACTCTAGTCTCTAGATTCTAGTTGCCAAACTCCCTTGCCCAATGTCAAGGAGGAGGTATTCAAAATTTCCTCAAGTGTATGTTTCAAATTTTTTACCATAAAGTAGATACAGGAAGGAAAAAATTAGATACTTTGTAATTGCCATACTATTTAGAGTTTGTGAGTAAATTGATGAATTCGCTTTTAATCCCATTTTCATTTTGGCTTAGTATAACGTAAAATATTGTTGCTCTTTATATATGATTTTAATTAGTTGTAGCTCTTTTTTATAAGAAAACAGAAATGCTCTAGCAGATCTAGTTATCTAGAAGGACTCCTTTGGTGACTATCCTTCCAAAATGAAGAAAAATTTGTTAATAACCCCTGTTTCTTTACAGTCTGTATCAGTTGTATAAGCTGAGATTTTCACATTTTATGAGATAACTGCATCTTTTATTCTCTTATATGAAATGACAGAATAATGGGTGAGTAAACATCACACAAAATAATGAATACAGGTTGACACGACCCATTTTGTTTTATTGTGATGATGTATTTAGTTTGACATTAGCTTTTCCTTTACCAGCATTGCATCATCTTTCTCTCCTTTTACCGATGACAAACCACCAACCACACGTATATACTGGAGATCTGCTTCTTCTTCTATATTATTAGAGATGCAAGTCTTCTTGAATCTCGTGTAACCACTTCTTTGCAAGCGCTTTATGTTTTTCCAACCACTTTATTCCAACAAGCTTCATCGGGACTCCTGTGCTCAACCATCAGGAATTTCTAGGGCAATTCTCATGTTTTTCTAGTCATTTTCAGTGACAAGGACCAGCCCAGTTTTGGTAATCAGGATTCATTTCAGATGTTTAGGAAAAAACTCAGTCTCAAGCTCCACTTGTGCATGAGAATCTACAGTAGGGAAGAGAGGGCATGTTCATTTTCTTCCCTCTTTTTCAGGTCCCTCTTCTCTTGTGGATTTCCCCCGGATCATGGAAGAAAAGAGAACTGACCTAAAGGAGCAGAACCTTACTCATTAATATTGTTCTTAGCTACTTACCTTTGCATTCCATTGGGTTAGGTAGCAGTCCCCCATGAGAAATGCCACGTTTCATAGCTCCCTGGTGCAGACAGTACCCTCTTTGGCTAATTTCTTGTACCCATATCCATTACTGCCACAGAAATCCACCTCATAACCTTCCTTACTGGGCTCCCCTCTACTGTACAGTTAGCCAATATTAGGTCTTAGCATGTTGGCAAAATTCATTCCTTTCTTGGCATCCTC